AAACTTTTCATTGCAACGGCTACAACATAAAAAAAATATCAAATGGTCTCCTTCATCGAATTGTCAACATCATGCATTCAAAATTCTTGTCACGCTCACAACTCTCGCGCACGCACGATCACACACACACAAACACACACACCACATACAACATACATTACATAATCATTCGATGTTGTTTTTGTAATTTGTATTATTTTATTCATCAATCATTTCGACACAATCGCGATCAGTCGTTCGACCTGTAAAGACGTGAATTCGAACAGCCTTCGCTTAAGCTCTACTGCTGCAGAGTTCTAAAAATAGAACTTTGCGGTGCATTCTTCAACGCAACAGCAACAAAAACCGCACACGCAGCGTTTTCTTATCGCTTGCTTCCGCGTAACTCAATTGCTTTAATTGCAATTTACGAAATTTCGTCGCTTGGCGCGAGTGCGCCTGCACTCAAAAGCACAATCCGCGATGACATCTAATGTCAATAACCTCGCTACAGCTGTAAAGGTAAATGCAGAAATGCAAGCCCAGCTTAACGTTGTGATGGCAAATAGGCAAGCCTCCATCATGCCAATAAACTCAAAAATAGATATCGCCTCCGTGCAAGGCATCACTAACAACAAAAACACGAAACGTAAACAGCCAAATTCACCAAAAACCATCAAGAAAAGGCTCATCTTCGACGAACCAAGCACCAGCAATGCAGCATTAATATCAGAAAATCGATTTTCACTGCTCGTAGAAGAAGATGAAGACTACAGCGAATCACCTGTAGCTCCAGAAGCCCCAGTATTGACCGACCAGCAAACTACACCGAAACCTCGTCCGCCCCCCATATGGTGTCCAAACATCAAGTCTGTGGCCCTACTTCAACAGATAATAGATAAAGTAATTGATGCTAAATCATACGTAATTAAGCCAAAGAAGAATAACATAGGTGTATTAACCCAATGCAGTGAGGACTATCGCAGAGTTATAGACCACTTTACTAAGCTGGAATTGGAGTTCCACTGCTACCAGCTTAAGGAGGACAAACCATATAGAGTCGTGTTCAAAGGGCTTCACTCCAGCACTGATACAACACTAATTAAAAAGGAATTGGAAACCAAAGGCCACACAATTACAAATGTGCACAACCCACTGAGCCGTATGGACAAAACACCGCTAAATATATTTTTTGTTGACGTGGCTCAGGCCCCCAACAACAAAGAAATTTTGGACATTCGAGTTGTCTGCAGGCAACGCTGCACAGTGGAACTGCCAAGAAGATACAACGACCTGACACAATGCCATCGCTGTCAAGAATTTGGACACACACAACGCTACTGCCACAAAGCTCCCAGATGTGTGCGTTGCGCCGGGAAACACGCATCCAAAGACTGCACCCGCGAAAAGGACCAGGCACCAACTTGTGTGCACTGTGAGTTACAGCACCCAGCCAACTATAAGGGCTGCCAAGTATACAAGCGGTTGCGCAAATTGCAATCCCCAGCACAAAAAAGGAGTCCCACACAAACACCGTCTACGGGTCCGAGTACTGCTTCCGAAATTACAAGGCCCCGGAGCATTACCCAAGCCACGAGCTTTGCAACGCCTATTAGTGGTGTTTCTTACGCACAGGCCGCTAGAGGTGGACCGTCAAATAAGAATACCACAAGTGACACTTTGTTCACTGAAATGCTTCAGCAACAACAACGTCAGTTTGACGCAATTAATGCCGAGCTCAAAGCGATGCGAGAAGTACAATCCCAACAAGCAACCATGCTAAACAGTTTAATGGCCATCATAACCAAGCTTGCCTACAAATAATGGCTTTACGTGTGGGTATCTGGAACGCCAATGGCCTGAGAAACAAGACTCAGGAACTGGCTGCGTTTCTCTCACAAGAAAACATAGATATAATGTTAATAACAGAAACTCATGAGTGCCCCACTACACAAATTTTCGGATACGAACACTATCAGGCTCATGGTGAAGGAGCAAACTGCTTTGGTGGATCCTCAATCCTCATACGAGCAACAATACCGCATACACCTTTACTGCCAATTTGCAACGCAACAATGCAGGTCTCAGCCATCACCCTGCCTACGTCTATTGGAGCGATCGAAGTTGCGTCAATTTATCTTCCGCCAAACACTGGTCTGTGTGATCATCACATGGAACAGGTTCTAGGCCAAAGGTTGAATAAGACCCTCATCGGCGGCGACTGGAATGGATGGCACCCATTTTGGGGAAGCAATAGTGCGAATCGTCGCGGAGAAGTCATATTTGAGGCGATTCAAAACTTACAATTCAGCATATTGGCGACTGGAGCCCCCACCCGTTACCCAATTAATGGACACAGGCCCTCGGCAATCGACTTCGCTGTCTACAAAGGCATCTGTGACCGGCAATTGACCATTGAAGAATCCTTGGACCTATCCTCTGACCACCTGCCACTAATAGTCACAATCCACGCGCAGCCACAGCCCTTGCCCATTAGGAAACAACTACTGCCAGCAGGATCAGATTTAGGAGTCTTTAGGCGCGAGCTCCATTACTCTTTGCACATAGAAATGGAACTTAACACTCCTGAAGACGTGGACTACGCAGCAAACAAACTGCAGGAAGAAATAGTCAAAGCTGCGCACCAAGCCGCCCCACCATCTTGCCAAACAAGACAACAGTCTCCGTACAACATCCCCCTCACCTTGGAGGCCCAACACCTACTAATACACAAAAGATGGGCCAGGAGACGCTGGTTAAGATTACGCACGCCTGATGCCAAATCCATGTACAACGAAGCCACGAGGCATCTTAAAGCTGCTCTCGCCCTGCTTCAAAAGAGGTGTATCAGCGATGCGCTGGTACGAGCTGAATCGCCCACTGACGCAGAGTTTCAATTATGGAAATTTACAAGAAAGCTCAAACGGCAGCCAATACGACGTCATCCCATTCGGAGCATTTCTGGTTCCTGGCACATTGGAGACGAAGCTCAAGCTGAGGCTTTTGCAAACCACCTTCAAGACCAATTCACGCCGGTGATTACCGCAGAGGCCTCAGAAATCGAAGCAACAGAAGACATCGTTCTCTCGCCCCTCCCAGCTGAAGACCAGATAACTGGATGTACAAAAGAAGAGGTTCTTGAACACATCAGAAGAGTGAAGGCAAAAAAAAATCCCCTGGATATGATCTAATAAACGGCAGAGTCCTTAGAGCACTGCCTGACTCCACCATAGACTACATAACTATGGTGTACAACGCCATGCTCCGCATCCGGCACTTTCCAGCCTGCTGGAAGCGCGCCGTGATTGTGATGATTCCTAAGCCTGGCAAACCCGTGGGAGAAATTGAGTCGTACAGACCAATTAGCCTGTTGCCAGTACTCTCCAAAATATTCGAAAGAATATTTCTGGAACGAGTACTGACACATCTGGGACGCCAGGAGGCCATTCCAAACCATCAGTTTGGCTTCAGGAGACAGCATGGAACACCGGAACAGGTTCACAGAGTTGTGCACCATATCCTTGGAGCCTTTGAAGAAAAGATGTACTGCTCTGCCGTCTTTTTAGACATCAAACAGGCGTTTGATCGAGTTTGGCACCTGGGACTGCTGCAGAAAGTGAGGACCACCCTTCCAGCCCCATTTTTCGCGTTGCTATCCTCATACCTTATTGGAAGAACCTTCCAAGTGTCAAGGGGGCAAACAGTATCCTTGACTAGACCAATTATGGCTGGAGTACCACAGGGTAGTGTTCTAGGCCCAACACTTTATACTTTATTCACAGGAGATATGCCAACTCCCGAGCCAAATATAGGAAGTACAGATGCAGTACTCATAGCGACCTATGCAGATGACACCGCCATCTTATCACGTCACGTATCTGCGCAAGAAGCTTCAGACTCACTACAAAAATATCTGGACTCTTTCGGACGCTGGGCAAAACGGTGGTGTATCACCATTAATGCACAAAAGTCTGTACATACTACCTTCGCCACTAGAAGAGGAGATTGCCCAAGCGTTGCATTGGGGCCCACTATTCCCAAAGCCTCAAAAGTAAAGTACCTTGGTATCACTCTTGACAGAAGGCTGACTTTTAAAGCGCACATAAGTCAAGTAACCTCAAAATGCAAAAGCAAGCTAAAAACCCTCGACTGGATGCTGAGAGCTTCAAGCAAGTTGTCTTACAGCAGCAAGGCCGCCATCTACAAGGCAATAGTTGTCCCAACCTTCGTATATGGTATCTCTCTATGGGGCTCCTCGGCGAAGACTACAAGGAACAAAATTCAGACCCTGCAGAATAAAGCACTACGCAGATGGACTGGAGCCAGCTGGTTTGTAAGAAACTCAGTCTTACATAGGGATTTAGCAATTCCCACAGTTGCTGAACTCATTGGGCGACACAGTTCAAGATACGCGGACAGACTTGCAGCGCATCCTAACCATCTCGCAAGCAACCTGGCTATAAACAACAATAGGCGAAGACTGAAGAGATTGCATCCTCTAGACAATATTAGAACTAATTAAGATAGTAGCTACAAGTGCAGAATAATTGGCATATCTGCCCTCCCATTAGTTAAGGTTTAGAGCTAAATGCGCTATAGAGTCTAAGACAATAAGCTGCAACAAAATAAAGAAATAAAAACGAAAAAAAAAAAAAAAAAAAAAAAAAATCATTTCGAATGTTTCTCTCATTTTTGGTTATGTTTCCGGTATTTTACCTTATTGAAATTTAATTAAATTTACATTTATTGTTAAAAATATATATACATATATATACATATATACCTTTTTTTATATGTGTGGCACAACAAAATAATTACTGTAAATATGTTTATTCCATATATGTATTTATGCATATGTCTCTGTGTGTGTGTGTGTATCACGGCTGGGCTTAAAATTTGGTTTGGTATGGAATATCGATATACTGCACACTCGCACACGCACACGTACACAATCACACACATACACACACACACACGGCAACAAAACCCTTGCACACGAACTATGGGTTCCGGGCCAGCAGATCGAGTCGCTTTGGTCACCGCCGCACCGCCGAGCTATACACGTATGTATCACTATTTTCCAGCACATTTGAGCGCGCACCCGTTCTGTTATTACCCACCCGCACCACCACCACCACCACCGCCTGCACCGCCCACACAACTGGCCACACCGTTGACCCTCAAACAGCTGGGTAACTCGCTTACCTCCATGACACAGGCGGCGCAATTGGCCAAAACGCTGCGCTATGCGCCAGGTAATAACAACTACGTTGTTTAGTTCTACTTCTTTAGCTACAGATGTTTTTTTAGGTATTTTCAAAGATTATTAATAGCAAGTTTATAATTTAACAATAGAAAATTGAGAAAAAAATAAGAGATTGTAAATCTTTTATAGTTTATATAAAACTTATATTATATTGAAGTACTACTAACAATTGTCTTATTCTAGCTAAGTTCGTATATCGTATATCATCCTTCTCTTAGGGGTGTATATATATATATATATATACATGTACCTCCAAAACTTTTCCGTCAGCCCGTAGAATGTCCGTCAGTCCGCTAGCCATCCCAAATATATATTCTAAAAATAAAATAAAAATCTATAATTGGAACCGTTTTCCACACAGCAAGTTTATGTAAGCTACTTGGCCTGGAATCAAAAGACAGCGTAACATAATAAATTAAAAACTTAAAGATTAACATTGTATAGAAATACAGATCTGCTGATAGAAAAGCTTGTTTTGAATTGTTCGCTCGAAATACTCAAGTTTATATAGACTTCTCTGATCTAACTAATCTAGAATATTTACTTCTAAGTTCAATTAACTGATAACGGATACCTGACAATATTTAATCTCTGACCTACTCGAAATACTAATACATTATCTTGACATGTCGTTCTTTCCCTCTCTCTCTCTCTCTGCATGGACAGGCATGTTTATACGACCCGACGAAACGAATCTCTATACGACGCTGGAGCCCACTTTGAGCAGCAATCCGAATGTTTATTTTCAGCGAAGCGGCGCGGTCCATCCCGGAATATTGTACTGACTGGAGGAGCAAAGGAAGATGGCAGAGAATCACTGGAGCTATCGAGAGCACTGGAACTGAGTATTTTTTCTTAATATTAAGCTGCAGCACATAGCGCTCCCACACACACACACACACACACATACACACACAACCCTAATACGGCTCCCAAGGAGCAGCAATAAGTGAATAAATGGAATAATTAGTTTAATACATTTGTCATAACTGCTAAGCTTTTAGTATAAGCAATGGAACACGATATATGAAAATATAAATATGTATGCTTAGAGTCGATATATGATGATATATATATTAGCCTAACTAAGTACCCATAATACGCACTTTAAACAATGAGATTTTGGTAAATTTGTAGTCTTAGATTACGCTACGATTCGAGCTCGAATTGGATTTGCAATTTTAGTCTTTGACAAGTATATATACACCTCTACATATATATATATATATATCATAATATAAAAAAAAAACAATTTTCACCATTTATACAGGCCATATTTATATGTATTTACGTTGATCTAATCATATTGACTAAAGCGATTCTCATTTAGTCTGCGATAATGGTGAAAAGTTGGCATATTCTAGATATCGTTTGTATCACGAAATATTATTAATTTCCCTTAACTATGAATTCAAAAAGAATAACTAATTTACAGAGCAGAAAGTTTCTTTTTCATTTAAATATTCAGGCGATATCTGAAATGCGAGCAAAATAATAACACGTAAATTTAAGAGAGATAATTTAATCACATTTAACTGATCTTAGACATGCTCAATAGAGGCACAAATATCGAAGGCAAACAACTTTTTAATTAGTAGAAAAGTGTAATGCGATTTATAGATATTCTGACACAATTGTGCTTGGCAAATATTTGAGAGATTTATGCCTCTATAAGCAATTAGGCCCGAATAATGGGCAACATCAAGAAAAACATTTGTTTAGCCAAGTAAACGATCGTTTAAGCCAACACGAAATGTTATGTACATAATGCCCGCAGGCACACACACACACACATACACACACACACACACACGATGAGCAAATACTCTCAATAAAACCCGATCAAATTAAAAAACAACAACATAATAGCAACAAGTGTAGAAGAAGAAGACAACACACACACTCAATTACGAGCTGTGGTGCCATACAACAATTACAATTACAATTAAGTATAATTGCAAATTATTGGCATTGCAGCGCCTATTAACGCCTTCAGCTGGCCAGGGGATGTACGTAGCTATCGGATATAAATATATATATATATATATATATATATATGGGGTGTATATTATTGGATGCCTATGCGGCATGTTTCACATAATTTCTTAACGCTTGCGATTGGGTGCCAGTTGGTAAACGTTAATGTTAAGCTATTATCGCCAGGCTCTAAGTGTAAGTGCCTTATAGCAATTCCATTACACGACCAACGCCTATCACTTGACCTTATATGGCAACACACTCACATACACTGACGCACGAATGCCGAGGGCGTGTTTGAAGCGGCATGAAGTGAACCTCTGGCTTGCAGCCTCGCATTAATTAAGTGCAACAATGCAGCAGCAACAGCAACAACAGCTGGAGAGAGATCCCATTGCTGCTGCCTGAAGATGGACACAGACGTACGTCCTCGAATAGTTACTAGAGCCGCATCCACAACACGTCGTTCGTATTAATGACATTTCTCACGAACATTTTGCTAGAGCTACCGACAACACGGTCAGGACAGAGCGACAGAGCGGCAGAGCGACAGAGCGACAGAGTGTCATGTGTCCAGTCTCCAAGGCATGTCAGTGTCTACAGTCTCTTGGTCTCTCAGACTCTCGATCTTCGCCCAGCGCTGGCCTCGCTTCAATTAGGCGCGCCTTCAAATCACAAGTCAATCAAAGTTGTTAGATTTGCCGTCCTTTTTACCTAGCTCCTAGCTGCGACTATGACTTCGACTACAACTACGACTCAGAGTCGTCTCTTGGTTCTGGTCTAAGGTCTGATATATTCCAGTCGCTGACTGCGCCTAGCTGGCTGCCTGCCTGGCTGGTTGACATCTGTGACATGGCACAGCGGCGGCATCAATTACAACATCTATGACAGCACAGCGTGAAATGTTTGTACATGTCTCGGCGGCGCTTCCGATGGGACCAATTAGCCCTAAGTAGGCATTTCAATGGACTCTGCAATTAGCCAAAATCGAAGCCAACAATTTCATTTCATCATGCCCATCATCATTATCAGCAACGCTCATCGCCCAGCCAGTCATCCATTCGTCCAGCTCACCCAGAAATATGCAGCCCCAATTCGCTGTGATCCTATCAATGCATTTCTTTAACCTAGGGCGTGCCAAGATTCACGTGCAAATGGCATTTGGTAACGCTTTATGGCCTAATGGGGCAACACGACTCGCCTCAAATGCTGTTACAGATCTCTGCAGCGAGCCCAGTCTACCAGCAGCCTATCAGAGATGCGCAATGCAGCTGCAATTGATCTTTGAAGCAAGGTTTCTGCTTTTCATCTAAAGTATCTCATTTCAATTATGAATTTTGAATATGGTCCCATATATAGTTGTTGTTATCCGATAATCTAATATTTGCCTTTCTTGAGACTCGGCTCGACTGTAGAGCATTTTCGAATTTTTCGATCTCTCTCATATAAAATCTGCCTTTCTGGAGTTTCAGCTTTTGTTTCCCTGAGGTAAATTCTTGTAGTTTGCGTAAAACTGGCAAAGCATTTCATGCTGCCCGAACCTGAGCGGCAATAAGCCCGCTTAGCTCAGGCAGCAGGCCATATATATTAATTAGAAAAGTTTCTGTTTTTGTTTAGCTTTAGACGTTGAAGCCGAACACACATTATTATTGCGGGGAAAGCGTCTAGTTGGAACTCCTGCAATGGCAACAGTTGAAAAGCAATAACAACTCTCGTAAAATACGCTTTTAAGCATTCCCAAGTATTTGCCAACGGTTCTTCCTCCACAATATTTTTTTATCGATGTGGCCCGACTTTGGGTTAGTTGAATGATCTTTGAACACCTTAAACTTGACTTTAGCTGCTTTATTACCTGTTGGCTCCTTGTTATTTCGCACGTGTTTCCATTGTTTGTTGTAATTGGCTTTGAAATCAGTTAAAGTCAGCTTGTGATGCAGTATCTAATGCTAGATTTTCACACAAGACATAGCTCATCTCCAACTCAACTCCAGCCGCCAAAGCAGCCCGAGGAATTGTAGTCTGCGATTCTGTCTGGGCTTTTCGTCTTGGATTTTCTCTTTTCTCTTTTATTTTTATTTATTTATTTTGCTTTTTGGGCACCTTTATAATAATTTGCCGTTCGTTGTTGCGGCACGTTGGCAAACGAAATTACTTAGCCTAGCCGTAGCATTAACCGTAATATTATCCTTGAATGAATGAAGCGCTATGGGTCTGCGCGCACTCAAGCTCCTATTACTACTATTATTGCGGTGCAAATGTTATGGCCGTGTTATATATAAGTTGCGGGGAATGTCCATAACACGGTTATGGGCCCCAAGGGCAGCGTCACGTTGCTGATTTGATGGGCTTGGTAAGACCGATGCAGATGCAGATGGTGATGGCGATGGCGATGGCGATAGCCGTGATAGAGTTAAGGCTGCGCTGGCGATCGGCTGTTGATAAGCTGGGCAGAACTGGTAATGCGTGCATTGACCGCAGCCCTCGAGCTGAGGCTGGAGCTGAAGCTAATGCTGAGGCTCAGGCTGAGGCTGAGGCAGGCTGGAGCACAGCTGACGTAAGTTGAAATTAAATTTGAGGTAAGGCACAAGCATATTGGACCGTTTGGCTGGGCAGTGAGTACAGTTAACCTCGTTTAAGTGCGCCACGCATATGGGCGACAGGAAAAGGGGGCCAGGGGGACAGGCGGCCAGGGACAGGGCGTGCCAGTGTAAGTCCAATTAACAGTAACCAGAGAGCGGCCACAGAGAGACGTCGCTCTAACTATGTGTCGTGCCTGTCGCATCCCATCCTGAAGGAAGTCACAGTTGACTTGGACGGCATTTGTCGCATGCTCCTGCTTATAGCATAACTGGTTTTGGCGACCGACAGACCGACCAAGAGCTGCCAGCCAGCCAGCCAGCCAGCCAGCCAGCCAACTAACCAGCCACTCAACTAACCCAAGCAAAGCAACCAACACCTAAGCTTAGAACCGGCAAGCCGGCATATACAAGTTTATAGCGGATGCGTAAACGCATTTGGCTCAAATGCCGTTAGGGCCTTTGACTAAATTGCATGGCCATGGACAGGGCAGCGTCGCCTTCGGCAGGGGCTCATACGATGTCGGCAACTGCGACGGCGACTGCAGCAGCGACAGCAGCAGCGGCATTTGCATGCACAGCCACAGCCGCAGCCAGAGACATGAGCCGAGTAGCGCATTTCAAGTAACGAGATTTGCCATTGAGTTGGCATCTTGAGCAATGTTAATGCATTACGAGCAAACAACCGCCCAGATCGCCAGCCCCATTTGACGTAATCAACACAATGGCCCAAAATGTTTGGGTCATTGAATTCTTGACTCGCAGTATCTTTGCATCTTAACGGTTTTCTTTTAGTGGCGCGAGATCAATGTACCTGCCTCTGGTTCTACCGCTGCTGCTGCCACCACAGTGGTTGAGCGTACGTTCGAGTATCATTCAGCTGCTCTCATGCCCTTTTATGTACGAGCCCCATTGATTAAATAATCCCAGCAAAGTGACGAGAATAAATGCGTTGGCCGTCTTCCTAGCTGCATATCAAATACGCTTACTGTGTGGAAAATAAAATACGAATCCAAAGCCGTCTACTGGAAGTCATAGTCAGGTAGGTCTGTAGTTCCTATTGACAGCTTGATCCAGTAGATACAGTATATATATATATATAATATATAATTTAATTAAAGATAGTAGAAAGCATCATTAAAGACACAAAGCTTAACACAGATGTCTGATGCCCAACATTTAAGATAGAGCATTACGCAATAGTAAACGAAGTAGAGAATACGTAATTATTTTTTATGATCTCCAGTGAAATGGCTACCGACTCATCTCACATCTCTCCACTCGGCGCTCGTAACTTATCTCTATGCCATTAGTTTGGGATGCCTCTTGTGTAGTTGAACTCTAAATGCTTTCAATCGTATTCGTTGTACTGAATTGGGCCAAATTGTTTCAGCAGCGTTAAGAAGATTGAAATATGTTTGTTTTTCTTGTTCACTTTTGTGTTTTTTGTTTACAGCCTGAAGCTAGGAAATGCAGGTTCATCAATTTGTTTGTTGATTGAGTTGTTGAGAGAAATGCGGGAAAAGGCAGATAGAGCGGGAGTGAGAGAGCGAGTGGGAGAAGATCTTTAGGAAAATGGTTAATTGTAATTTATGTCAGAAGTAGAAAGTGTTGGCTTATAATCTGTAATTATTTACTAATGGACACAATGAACGGTATAGATTAAAACATTCTTTAATAGTCTCGATGATATTGCAATTAAATGCCTACGTCCCAAGCGTCACTGAATCGCTTGTTCTATTTAAAGCTTCAATCACGATTTTCTGTGGCATCTGCTAATCCAAATCATCTTTTTTTAGAGATGTTCTATTCAGGTTTCCGAGTTGTCTAGCCGCCTGCCGACCTGTCGAGCTGCCGGGCTGCCTGGTGGTGCCAACCATTGTATGCAAAAGCCTCAAAACGTGCGCTAAATATAAAATTTAATATTGCAACCATACACATACTATATGTGCTATTCACTCTCTCTATCTCTCTCGGTCTCAATCTCTTAGTAGTTTAAGCCAAATGAAGATGGTCTCAGCTGCTGCTGCCGGCCTAGTCTGATCTGTTCTGTTCCCTTCTTGTGGCCTAATGGGCGCGTTTAGCTAAAAGCTCAAAAGTTCAAGTGCCTCTTGGTTTGGGGTTATTTGCAGATTTTTTTACGACTATTTTGTATCTTAAAGATACAAGTTTATTTATGGGCAGCGCCAAGTTCACGATCCTTCGAGCCGTAAAGTGCAAAAAGTGCATAAAATGCAACGAATGACATTGCAACACCCGGCACAAGAAGCCGCATCAGCGTCACAAACCGAATCACAGAATCTGCCACTAAAGATGCAGTTTATTCACACACATACACACATCCTGGCTCTGTGTGTGTGTGTGGGTAAGTTGAATTTAATGTAGTTTGCCTGCTAAATGCAAACGCACAACAGCCAGCGCAGAGCCACCGTGGCCACCGTCGCAGCTGAATGCTAAAAGGGTTTTGGCTTGGATTCGTTTATTTTATTTATTTAGTTTTTTTTTTCTTTTTTTATATTTTTTTCCTTTTGATGCGCCTCATTAGGAGTGGCTGGAAACCAGTTTTCAGGGGCACAGATCCCAGACAATTGACAATTTAAACGAATTTCTTTCAAACACAGCTCTGACATGGCCCAGGCACATATGACGAATAGTCAGTCGCTGCCAGCCCGCCGCCTGGGGCCGAAGTTTACGCATGAAAAATGCAGCTCAAGCCATTTGGCCACCAGAGCGAAGGAGACGCTAGCTGGGCAGGTGGCAGGATGCGGCAGGAGGTGGCGAGCAGGAGGCCCGCAGCCAGAACAGACAACCGCCTGTATGAAGTGTCATTCATCTGCCCATAAACGCATTATTCAATATATACTTGTGCTAGCTTGGGGTAGAAGCTACATCAGCATCAGCTTCAGCCACAAGAGTTGGAGGACTGCCGCAGCTAGACAGACGACTGATCGGCAGACGAACAACAACGACGATGTCTGACTAAATGCCTCATACTGCGCTGGGGTCTTGTGGGGCTGTTGCTGCTGCTGCTGCTGCGGCTGCTGCCGTTGCTATCTGTCTGTCAGTTTGTCTGTCCGTTTGTTCGTTTGTCTGCATAGTTTCAAGGTTAACAAGTTGCATTTGCAATTTGGAACTGCAGCCAGACGACCGACGACCCTTCGACTGCTGGCCGCATCAATCGCTTTGGTGAGAATTAAATGTTTATGGCCTCAGTGTTTGCCCAGAACCAATTTAATGAGCGACCTGAACCGATCCCACAACCGCCTGGACATGTACAGCAAAAAGCACTCTCCGTCGAGGCAATTGATACGTTTGATTGCAGACATCTTAGTGCTAAAATGTTGCTGAAATTAAAGCCTAAACACTCTCAAACAATGTTGTGCCACTTAACGACTAAGGACACCACTGAAATTGAGCCATGTACGAATTCCTCCTAGTTACTCGCTTCTATAAGTACCTCATTAAAGAAACGTTGGTCCTTTATTGATCTCCTTGATTAAGCCAACTTTGAATTGTCTTTTACTTACTCTCTTTTAGTCGCCCCACTTCTTTCTCACACATCGATGCTAGTAAGAGAGAGAGAGAGAGAGACAGACAGAGCGAAGGATACAGGGAGAGGGTGTGAAAAACAGAGATAGGCAAGGAGAGAGAATGAAAAAGAGGCAGACTGAGATAGAAATATAGAGACAAAGATGGCGAGAGCTAGAGAGAGAGAGCGCCAGTAAAAGCGGGAAAGAGGGAAAAGATTAAGATAATTAAATCAGAGAGAGAGAGAGAGAGAGAGAAAGACAGTGAGAGACAGAGATTGAGAATTATCGATATGGTGAGCGAGAGAGAGGCAGAGATAGAGAATGGAATAGAGAGGAATGGTGAGCAACTGACGTGACGAGAGAGACACAGAGAGTGAGAGAGGCAAAGAAAGTGAGAGAGATATATAATGAAATAATGTAGATATCAATGGAGTATAATACACCAAATAGTCTTTCTCTATATGTCTATATCAAACTTAAGTAATACTAGAACCTATGAGATTCGCATAGAAGTCCGATTCTGTAAATTATACAAATTATGATATTGGCTAGGCGACAATCGCGGTGTCAGAGAAGTGCGAGTGCCCGCTGTGGCAAAGGACAGTAACGATCGGTCGGCAATAATGCGACGCTGATCTATTATTCACCAGATTGTAAAAATGTAAAAATCACGCTTTCGTGTTGTGTATAAATTGAATGCAATTTATAAATGTCCAGGCATTGAATTAAATCCCAGGCCGCCACATGGCCACGATGTTCGGCCGGGCGTCTCTCAGCAGTTGGTGATTTTTCAAAATAAACAACCTTGAGCTGCAGCAGAGAACAATTGCCAGCGCAGCAGCAGGCACAATAGACAACAACAACAACAGCAGCAGCAACAGAAATGGATCCGCGGTTCCCCTTAAAGGCACTGGGAACGATGAAAAATTGCGCCAATTGAATTTGGCCAACGATTGTGCCCTGCCACAAAGACGGAAGGGCGACGTTTGGGTGCAAATCTACTGGGCGGTCGCTTACTTTTCAACGCATTTATCAATACCCAAGTGGCCAAGTACCTTGGCCAGAACCTTAACCACAACCACTACCAATGCCAATGCCAATGCCAATACCCGTGGACCAGGCGTTGACAATACCAGGTTTTCATATATAAAACGATGCCGCCGCATAAAATGTGAGCAAGCGAAATGTGAATAATCGACTGGGCCAGACATAAACATATGCTTCTCTATTATCATATCCTAGGCTTTGGAGTACTAATATTATAGTGAGCTTAATGCTGTACAAATATATTAAATATCAATTCTTTATAGAAATATAATTAAAACTAACCACATTTACATAACGCCAATATACCCTGTGTTATAAAAAGATGTCAAATATTTATATATTATATTCGATATATTTAGTTAGATAAATATATTAATATATCTCGTAATATATTCAATATATTTCGACAAGATTTCATCAACAAATATATGTGGAATAATATACGGTTTCAGAAAATATGTTCTCCGTTTGAGCCAAATTTGGAGTAAACAGAACTCAAAACTGTGGGACTAGTTAGCCTTGTTAGCAATAAGGTGGGCTATTCAATAAATGTTTTGTGACATGTTCGAAAAATTGCACATTTAAAATGAGATGATTAATTAACATAAATAGTTGCTTTTGCAAAGACAACACAAAAAAAAAAAAACTAAGAACGCAAATAAGTACTTTAAATAATACGACAAAAATTGAAGCTAATTTAAATTGTTTCTAGTAGTTATGCTAAATGACTATCTTAAATGGATATGGCTGATGTTTTGTGACTTAAGCCTTTTCGGCCACGGCGCGCAGTTCTTCCATCAAGGATGGCATGGTCTCTTGCCGTCCCGTGCTTGACTCCAGACCAGTCAGCAGCTTATTGAGATCTAACATATCCTCACGGCAAGCGGCCAAGCCCTTGCTTAGTTGGCACAAATTTGGATGACTACGTTGACTACGCTCAATTAGCTCTAATATATAGCTGTTTCGCGGACGGCCCGTCTCCTGTGCAGTTTGCTGAATAAGCTGAAAGAAATTATAGCTTAATTAATATAATATATTTATATATATATTCCTATCAAGTTCTTATTGATGGCCCTTCATATGAATAATCTGATTGAATGTCTATACGAATATACGGAAGCTCACTTTTTTGTAGTCGTCAATCAGATTCGCAACCTCATGAGCCGGCTCCAATGGCGTGGAGCTTGTTGACGACTTGCTTAAATCTGAGGCTTCGAAACGAGCTCTTTCTGAGGCCAGTGTTTGCTCTAGAAACTATAGAAATAAGTTTAATTAAAATTAGTTCGCACCTTGTGATATCCATAACTTACTTTGATTCTCTTCAGAGCTTCTTCGTATTTGCCTCCAACTTTAGCTAACTTCATTTTAAGCATTGGCAACTCTGCAGCAGCTTTTGCTGCGCGTAGCTCCTGTCGCAGCAATTTTGTCAACTGTGGCCAGTTTTTGACATGCTGCAGCTTACGACCCGTTTCCATTTCCAGAACTTGCAGCAGGATGGTGTGCTGTTTTCTTGGAGCGCACTGACGCTCTTTAAGCAGCGCCTGCACCTGTGCTTCCAATTGGTTCAGATTAGCCGCATCCACAGCTTGTGCTTGCTTGAGTTTTTGCAACTCATTGCTGTTTTGGTTCTCATGGGCTCGACTCAACAACTGCAATTGCTGCAGCTGTTCGTTTTGCTGAGCGAAGAGTTCATTAAGCTGCAGCAGCTCATCGGATTTCTGCTGCAGCTGTAGTTCCATTTGTTGCTCCATTTGCTGGGTTGACTGCAGCGCTTCGAGTATCTGCCTCCAATCGGCCTCCATTTCATTGGTATTTCTTATCTTCTCATTCTGTTGTTGCAGCAGTTGCTGCAACAACGTGACTGTCTGTTGCTTCTGTTTGGTGACTGTTATTAGCTGCTGCTCCAGAGTCTCAATGCGCTGCTCTAGCACAGGCTCTTCAGCTACCGTTTGGGTACCAGCACATATGAGCTGCTTGTTCTGGGTCTGATTCAATTTCACCTCCATTTGGGCCTTAGCGGCACTAAGCTGATTGCATTGCTCCTCATAAAGTTGAAGCTGGTTCCGAAGTTTATTAAGAATTTCTTGTTTCTCATTATTTTGTGACTGCTGCTCTTCGAGTTGGCATTTTGTTTGCTCACATTTGGCGCTCGTCTCTGCATGTTGCTTGTGGAGCTCTATAAGCTGCTGCTCTACTATCTGTAGTGCTTGCTGCGATTCCTTCAGCTGGCAAGAGATTGCTGCCTTCTCCGTCGTTAAATCCTTTAGTTGAACGTCTTTAAGAGCCTGTTCTAATTGTTGAGCTTCTAACTGAAAATTCAATTGCTCGAGCTGCCGTTGCTGCTCCTCATTCTGTGCTTCTAACTTTGACATTAGCAACAACTCCGACTGTAGCTCATACAGTGCATGCTTAAGACTAGCTATTTCAGTAGTTTTGGCAATGATAGCGCCATGGAATGCCATGCTATAGTTGTGCATGGCGTCAATGGTGCACTCGCTGCTTAGCTTTTGTTCATAGTGCTGCTTCATGTCCAAGAACTCCCGCTCTTTCAGCGCAAGCAGCTGTTCCTGTGTCTGCAACGTTTCATTGAGCTCCGCAATCACCTGTCGCAATTGCTCTCGCTCAGCTGTCACATTGCGAAGCGTAGTCGATTTCAGTTCCAGCTTGTGCGCTAGTTCGCGCTGCTCATCGATCAGCTGCTTGCACTGACGCGTCATGTGTTTGTTTTCCAATTCAACACCTGCAAGCTGGCGCTGCAGTTCCAGGTGTTTGCTATCATGCTCAAGACTCAGACGCTCCATATCGGCAAGAAGTTGTTTCTTTTGCTTACGCAGAACTTCAGTGAGCTGTCGCTGATCCATTAGTCTTGCCTGTTGCTGTTGCGCCTCAAAGGATTCAAATACATTTTCGGTAGTTCCTTGTGCTGTTCCTGTAGACAGCGGCGCTGTTATAACAGCTGTCGACAGTCCACAACTTTCCAACGCGGCGCATTTTGCTTGGAGTCGCTGCGATTCCTGTTGCAGTCTCTGATTCTCTAGCATATATTTGCGCTCCTGAACATATAGACGCTCTAAAGTTTCGAGACGATTATGCTTTTGAGACTGTAACTCCTGTTTATACCACCGTTCCGACTTGCTTAGACGTTCCACTTCACTGCGCGACTTACGCAGCTCCTGCGACACCATAAAAAGTGTACCTCGTGCTTCTTGAGACGGTTCATCCGGCTCTCCCCGCTCCTGAGATGGTTGCCATGTCGTGGAATGATTTGTTGCATCATCTGCATCACTGCTACAGCTGAAAAGACCAGAGTCATCTGCCTGCATTACGCCCCCCGAATTGTCCGATTCCATTGCGTTGGCCGAGACCTATAAACAGATATAGTCAAGGTCGTATACTTAAAGGTTACTAGCATTTACCAACTGTTCACATCCGCTGCCAAAATATTTCAAGCTATGCCTGATTTAATAATATTAAGCACACAAATCGGAAAACTACATTTTCCACGTTGTAAACAAAATCTACAATTTAACAAATTTTACCAGCGCAGCAGCTGTTGATGGTGGATCAATGTTACCGTTTCTCGATAAAGGCAAAACATCTTGGTAAAATAAATACCATCACAGCAACTAAGGGCCGCAGGTGAAACAAATATCAACGATATTTTCATTTAAATTTGCGCAACTGTTATAAAAAATATATATTTAATGTTGATCACTATATATACCGCTATATAATCTTCAATATTTAATATATGAAGCTACAAGCCACCCACAGTGCTCAACATCTAGCTCCTGAACCTAATTTTGCTAACCAGTGTATGTTTTCTCGTAGAAACTTATGGGATTATTACTAACGTTATGCAGCACGGTCACATTGGTTCGCAAAACCATCACAAATAAAACTTATAAAATTTGCCAATTTTAAAAGAGGAAAACATAATTGGCAATTCACATTTCAGTACCAATGCATAAATAGTCAAAATGTGCTCTTAGAATGCATTGAGCTGCTGGGCCCAATGCAATTAATATGTGTTTTAATATAGTTTAATTAGTGTAGTTGTAATTGCGTGTTACAAAACTTGCAAGTGGACGGCGAAATCACAACAAAAGCAACAACAAGGACCAGAAGGTGAAGCATGTCAAGCTCCAACGAAGCAGCCAATAGTAATGGTGAAGCATTTGCCATCTATTACAAAGGCAATGCATTGCAGTTGAAATGGAAGGGCGTGCCACCTCTCACCCGCTCGCCCGCATTACGACTCTGCTGCATGGGCAGCAGCAAAAGCAAAGATGGAAACGGGGAGGGCTCGATAGCTGGAGTCCAATTCGATTCTGATTGGCTGCTGCTACTGACGGCGGATCATTCACTGTATTCGGCAGAGCCGCTGGCAATGCACGGCGTGCACACTTTGGAGCTGACCTTGCTGCGGACGGATGTTGTTGACGTGGACTTCTGTCGCGGCAGCCGACAGCTTTTTGTTGTGCTTGCGAATGGCAGTGTACAGAGGCAACTCATTGCAGGCAGCTATCGACCGAGCGCCTGGCAAACGCTTAGTTTTGATCCCCTAGAGCTGCACGATGAGGGCGTCTGCATGCGTCGTGTTTGCTGCTCGGAACAGGGCGTGGTCTTTGTCAGCGTTCGAGGAGCAACATATGTGCTGGGCAGCTGTGGGGAAGTTTTTAACGCTGAAGAACCTCGTCACATGCGCCTCTGCGAGGAGGGCAAACAACTGTTGGACCTCGCCGCTGGGGATGAGCACTTCGTACTGCTCATGGCGCCGCATCAACAAGCCGACGATGTCCTGCAGCTCCAGGAGCCTACACAAGAAGAACAAGGCTCTCTGAAATCATTACAGAGCGGCAGCTCGGAACGCAGTTTTCAAGCCAATACGCGACATCTACTTCATCAGGGTTATGCGTTGCTCCATACTCAGCTTTTTACATTTGGTGCCTCTAACGGTGGATTGCTGGGCACTGGGGATCACATACGCCGAGCCCATGTCGCTCGTATCGAAAAGCTCGATGGCATGGGTGTGTGCAGCATTGCCGCCGGCAGGCAACACAGTGTGGCACGCACTCTGGATGGACGGCTCTATCACTGGGGCATCAACAATCGTGAGCAGCTTGGAGAAGATTTGAGTTCTCCCATGGAAATATGCTTGGCAGAGCAGTTAACGCCGGAGCAACACACAGCTTTGGAAGCCACCTGTGGCGATTATCGCACCTTAGTGCTGGATGCAGCAGGGCAAATTCAAACACTGCCCCAATCTCAGTCTAGCACATATGCGCAAACAGTGCTGCATTTGCAGATGGGCGCTGCCTGGCCACGTCAGTTGCGCCTGGTGCACTGTGCTGGCAGCTACACCCTCCAGAATTGCCGACAATTCCAGCGGCAATACCACTACTTTCTTAGCCACCTGGAATCGCAGCTTCAGCTGCTACTAAAGCAGCGGCAGGCTGTGCAAACACTGATGATTTGGGAGTTTCCTGTCCTGGCGCCTCTATTGCTCAACTGGGAACGCATTGTATGCCTGTTGGCAGCCACCTTGCATTCTCTCGAAGGCTTTTATCGTGCGGACTATGTGCAGCCGACGGATCTGTTGTATATTTGCTATCATCGCGAGTATATCGAGCTGTTTGAGAGCTACACCCGAGCCTATTGCGATGTGCTTTCCGTAAATGGGTTTGGCGAGGCAGTAGCCGCCATTTGCTTACCTCCATTAAGCACCCACAATCCACTGGCGGAGCTGGGCGAAGAAAGCTACTTAACACGGCTGTTCCAGCAACCGTTCGGCATCTATCAGTTGTTCATGCAGTTCATGGAGTTGCTCGTGAAGACCCAACCAGAGTACGAAGAACATCGTGTCGCTTGGTCAGAGTTTGCGCGCATGAGCTGCATTAGCCAGGAACTGGCCGTCAATACCAAAGAGTTCTGGAGCAGCAAGGAGTGTACGCCGCGCATTTCTCATCTGAGGCAACGTCACCGGCGTGTCATACTCACATCCACCCTGGTGCCGCTCAAGCTAGCCAACAGTGGCATCAGCATGTCCAGCCACAGCTTCATACTCTTCTCCGACTTTCTCTGCCAGTTAGGCAGCAATACACTCTACACCTATCCATTGACCGCGCTGTGGGTGTGGGCGGAGAGCGAGCTAGGCTTACGCATTGTGACGCCCGAGAAGACCTTTGTTTTGACTACCAAAAAGACGGAGTCGCGGAAGGTTTGGCTTGACCAACTGCAGTCAAGTATTGTGGCTGCCTTGGGGCGACCTTTGGGCAGCCCTGTGCCCAACGTACGTTCCACTGCATACGAATATAGTCGCGAACATCCAAAGTTCTCCAGAGTCAAGGCCTGTGGCAATTGGCGTAAAGGCATCCTGCATGGCAACTGCTATCTGGAATATCCCGATGGCAGTGTGTATTGCGGCGAAGTTCACCGTGGCGTTATTGAAGGTGAGTACATTTTCAAAAATATATGCCTGTCTGTAGACAGCTTGTTATTTATTAATAGGCTACGGTAAGATGGTGATTCCCTCGACCGGTGTCTACGTGGGCAACTTCAAGGGAGGCCGATTTCATGGATTTGGCATCTACGAGCTCAATGGCAGTGCGGCGCAAGAAAGCGAGATTTATGAGGGCAACTTCTGCGAAGGTCTCTTCCATGGTCACGGCATGATGCGCAATAATCGCTACATCTATGTTGGCGAATACGTTGCCAACACGCGCAGCGGATACGGTGTTATGGAAGATCTGGTCAGCGGCGACAAATATATGGGCATGTTTGCAGATAACAAACGCTGTGGACTTGGCAGCTGCATCACGAATCGTGGTGACTACTTTGAGGGCACTTTTGCGGCCGACGATCTCACTGGAAGCGGCGTGGCTGTTTTCGAAAATGATTACTACTACGAGGGCGAGCTAACGCTGCAAGGACCTAATGGTCGCGGCGAATACTATATGCCCTGCGGCGATGCTGGCAATGCTCTGGGTGCCAGCGAGGACGACGATGACAATTATGAGTTAATAGGCAATAAAATGTTTGGTCAACTCAGTGGCAGCTGGGAAACAGTGCGAATACAAACTGGTGAACTGGCCCTAAATCGACGTTTCCCAAAATTTCCTAGGTAATTATATCTTTTAAAGCTTGATAAATATATTATTTTATCGCTCCTATTTTCGGTTCTTAGCTCTCTTGGCCGCATGGTAGTGGACCACAATCGAAAATGGCGTGCATTGTTCCTCAATTTTGAATCGGACCTAGCGAATTGCAGTACCTCAAGTAGCAGTAACAGCGTCTTCTCTGGCATTCTGGGTGGCACCAGTAAGAAACCTGCAAAAACCACGCTCAGCACGGCCCAGATATGGAGCTGCATAGCCATTTATATGAACAAACAGCGTTCTCGAGACGGTTCAAAGCCGGGCAATTACTTCAACAATATTCTACTCAGTCTGCCGCTGCCACCGAAGCCAGCCACGCAGCCTTTAATGAATAGCACACCGACGTTACAGTCTGCGCTGACTAGAAAGGTTGTAACTTCGTTGGACTTGTTCAACACAACGCCACGCCGCATTCACTCGCAAGAGACGCTATGCAGCAAACAGGATGATCTACAGCGCTCAGAAAGCTTGCTCTCCATTGGACCTAACTCGACAGTAGATACTAGAAGCTTGGTTAGCTTCGGTCTGAACGAGAGTCTGCTGGAGCCTAGTTTTAACGGCGAGCAGGAGCCAGGCAATCTGAGCACTAGCTTTGGCAGTGTTTTACAAATCAATAATAACAACAACATATCCAAGCATATTAACAACAGCACCTGTTCGATTACATCGGCGACCTCCACGGGCAGCGCACTGCTGGAGCAGGTGCCTAGCTTCGGCATGGCGTCCACACTTACCGAGCAGGATGTGAGCTGCATTCGTTTATATCTAGAGCAAGCCTTCAAGGATCGGTATCATCCGCTGTATGCACTAAATGAACGCATCGCTAATTGTTTCCACTACTCCTACGGCTATTGGAAGGTGAAGCCCACTTCCATTCTGGCCAAGCAGGCTATGCGCGAGTGGGAATCCATATCTAGGCGTATGTATCGGTTCGTGCGTAAAATGTTCCCTGCCCTACCGGAGGATTACTGTTACCTCGATGGTAGCCGGGAGGTAATTTCCCATATAACGCTCCTATACCCACTGATGCTATCTGAGGGCGTTTACTCAACGCTTTTCGTGCTATATGCCAACAAATACAATCGCAAGGATGAGCTGTACAGGCATAACTTAAACCACGCCGAGAAGTTGAGCGATGGGGAACTGGTCCAGCTGCTCGGCCACGACAGGTTAACAAATTATAAACATTGCTTTTATTTTGTTTACACTTTGGATGTGATGGCAATTAAAATTGATGGGCTCATTCACAATTCTGTGATTTCTGTTAACATGGGATATTTGCATGAATTTAATATTATTTAACTGTTTCGAAATTGCGAGGGCGATTCGCTTCTTTGTTAAGAGAAAAGATTTATCAAAACAATATAAAAATTTCGAAGTTCTTAAGCCACCGTCGCGATATAAAGCCACATAGACTTCATTTCAACTCTCAGTAGATATAATCACAATATTTAACAATAATTTGTCAGCTTGTTTCAGCTATCTGATTGTGCCGACATTGCGGGTCTTAATGACCATATTTTAATTGCCAAAACAAGTCTTTCCCGTTTATATCAACTAATCTGATTTGTATGTTATTTTCATTTGCAGTTGCCTCAATGCTGTGATGCTGGACACGCATTTTGAGGCAGCAGTACAGTCACTGAAGCAGCTGCAGGAGAAATTTAGTCCCCAGGATATGTTGACTGTGATACAACGTTGCATGGAGCAACTGTCAGAGGCATATGAGCACGCCATGGCAAGTGAGTATTTAATTTCCACTGCTATTGACTTGGTAACTAAATCATTAACCTTTGAATATTGCAGCAAAAGCCGCACAGCTCAATGCAGATAATATGATACCGCTCTCCATGCTGGGCATGTTGCGAGCCGCTGTGCCGCATTTGGGCGCAGAGCTGGCCTTACTTGACGATCTGACGGGTGGGCCAAACTTTCAGGCCGAAATGAATGGAATGGCAGGCTATTGCTATACGACCCTGAAGGCAGCCTACGAGCATATCACGATGAGAGCGCTGCAGAGAAACTCCTTGCCTTGAGCTCAATTTAACTGGTCGCCTGTATTAATATTGTTACAATTGTTATGGCTCTTGATGCCAACGATCTATATAATTTGTAATTTATGCTCTGTTACATGTGCACGCACATAGCTAACATGTTAACAAAATATCGATGTAAACGTTATATACCCTGTATATAGAGAATAAGTGCAACTGTCCTCATAGGCATAGGTGTAGGCTTGTTATTTAACTGTACAGTTCTCGAAGGGCTTTTTGAATCGATCTGTGTATAATGTATGTATATGTATATGTGTATTTCGATAACACTACAGATTAGAATACAGTTTAAGGATAACACATTCCCATTAAATACATTTATCATAGCAATTTAATTTACATTTGAATAACTTATTTCGGTCTGTTTGAACTTGTGAAACAACATGCTAATTTTCAAGCTAGCAGAACGTTCTTACTGCTTAGTGAGTATATATAAACATACCTTCCTTTTGCGAACAAACATCACATTCCGCCTCTCGTGGAAACAGGGACTTGGACAAATGTTCCACGAAATGCACTTTATCAAATGTATAGATAAAATACTTTTCGGGAAACGTAGTGCCCGTAGTATAATTATAAACCAGTATGATTTTGTCCCCATTTTTGATTATCTTGCGCGAGGCGAGATAGGCCAGGGCAAAGATGAACTTGCGAAAGATATTGCGCTGATGGCCAATGAAGTAGCTCGTGCGAAAGGGTAGCATGGTGACATTATGATACAGGGACACGTAGTCCTCAGCGGAGCGCATGTGGCTGACGAACAGGATGGGTGTTTTGGGCCTGAAGTGCGAAATTTTCTGCACCATGCGCGTGGTCACGCCACTAACAATAATGGCTGTGGCGCTCGCCTCCATGGAGGCGGCAACGACAGCACGGGCCATGCCATCGGCACCCGTATGAGAGCTGTCACAGAGGGGCATCTTGGACAGGTCCCTCGGCACGATCTGATCAAAAATGGCACTTTGCAAGAAATTAAAGTAGAAAACTGCTTTGAACTGATTGAACTTCACCAAATACTTGTCCGGATAGAAGAATATGTGATAATAATGCTCTGGATCGACACGCAAACGCTGCTGGCTAATATGCCATGGATCCAATATAATTGGCTTCTTGGCATTATAGGCCAGTTGCAAGATGCACAGGGCATCGGGACACAACTGCAAAATATCTGGTGCATTCTCTGGCTCAGATAGCTCCACCAGGAAGCCGTCGTAGCGCTGTGCGATCCAATTCATTTCACCATCACAGCTTTTAATGTCGTTGATCACCACGCGGGCGTAGAGTCTGAGATTCTCGCACTGCAGAGATGACATGACCTTTTCCAAGTCGTTCACGTACTGCACAGTGCCAGCGATGTCGGATACTACCACATTGATGCCCACCTCGCGGGCGAATGTGAAGTCCTCCAACTCTTCATAGGAGACGCGATATTTGCTGCAGCGTTGCGGAAAGAGGACCGGCATATACGACGTAAGTGTACCCTCCCGGCAGACGCAACACTTGAGAGACTCCTGACGGACGCTGCGTACCATCAGCTGTATATCCTCGCCAATTAGTATGATGTCAAAGTTCTTAATATCAATCAGCAGAAATCGGGCGTTTACATAAATCAAGCGCGATGTACAATGGCTTGAATATTTGCGATCAGTAGTCAAGGTAACTTTTTCGCCCTTCTTTAGTTTGATGCTGTTGAAGTGAACTGTATCCAAATATCCGCTGTATTGATAACGCGGCGACAACTTGGCAATAATGGTGGATGCCACGGGAAAGCCATACTCCTTGGACACAGCAATCTCTGCTTCGCGCAGTTGAACAATCAGATTCTGACTCTTGCCCAGTGGACCACGAAAGAGATCTATCATAAAACAGCGTACTCCAGACTCTGTAAGCCGAAAGCCGTAAAATACAATGATGAAAAATATTAAATTATGAAATGATCCCAGTCCACTCCGACTGGAGAATCGCACTCACTCAAATATAAGCACAGATCATCAACGCAGTTTTCGAAGCCCATCTCGATGCACTGGTTGTTCCCATTGGGATTGACGCCCTCCGGTAAGCTGAGGATTTCAAAGTCAGTGAAGAAATTTCCCCAACGTTCCTCGTCAAATGGCATCTGGCATGTGTCCTCGCTCATCTCCTCATAGTTTTCAATTTCGTCGTTGAACATGCTATCGGTGTTACCCGCAATGGACATCATCCTGATGCTGTGCGTTGATGTCAGCCGTTGCATGTCCTCTAAATTTTGTTCACTGTGACCATCGTCAAAGCCAAACAGTTTCTTAAAAGCCCTCCGGCGCTGCATCGATGCTAACAGCTCCTTGGCCCTCAGCACCTTCTCCACATCGATAGTCGCTATATGAAGTCTCTTACAAATGTTGTTATATCCATCTGTCTCGCTATTTCTGTCTTTCTTTGATACTCCAGCCATTTCACTCACGTTTCGCTTATCTTCCAATATAAATCCAATAGAAAAGTAAAGCTAACACAAAGATTTACAAATTTCACATATATATAGCTTAATGTTCATATGTGAGAATTTTGCTTCGACACATATCAAAAAGTAGAGCTACCAAAATAATCCTATTGCATTGGATAACAAAGTTGAAATATTTAATCTGCATTTGAAAACTTCAACTAATGAAGCGACCTAAACCTAAACCTGATAGACAACCTTCGAGTCTAGTCAATTGAAGGATCGATCGATCACTCACTGGGAGTCTTGGATGAAAGAGATAAGTTAATCAAAGTGTTGATTAGGAAGGTGGCTAGTCAGCCAAGTGGGCTGCATTGATTAGATTAGATTTGCTGATGACTTCTGTATTTCAATGAGCAAATGTGGATTGAGCTACAAACCAAGACTTTGACCACTTTCACAGCAGAGCTAAATGTTCAGATGGCAGAGATTCAGTGAGGGACGCACATTGCTGTTGAATCTTCTGCTGAAATTTACATTGTGGGATTCATTATTTTTATGATTCAGTAGTTTCTAAAAGGGATAGGTGGACCAATGCAAAAGACTGGTGGTCGTAGACGTAGGCATAACTTTCTTGTTGATGATGGAAATATTATGCATAGCAAGACATGATTTTAATGCGCTTTCCAAGAGTAAAAATAAATTAAATAGGCAGCTACATATAAATTGTATTAGAAATAATAATATTGAATCTATATATAATATATATTATAGATAAATTTAGTGAAAATATTTAGAATTGATTCTCTTTGATTTCTCGCATTTAAAAGAAACCGCACAGGTATTTTATCTTAATTTTCTATCATTGCTTGCTTTAATTTGTTTATATCCGTAATTTATTTGTATGTTTTGTGAAGGGAGAACGTTAAATTTAGCAACGCGTCAAGTGAAATGTTTACAATGTGAGAGAAAGTTATATCGAAGCTGGCAGCACGAGTAACTAAGCATTTTCCACGCCACTTGAGGCAGCAGCAGCATCCCGCCAGCCCAGCGCCCCGTTAACATAAACATTCAGAATGTTTAGAGAATAAAAAATTCATATTCCAGGCGAACATTTCTTAGTTTTCCATTTTCAACTGATCTGTTCTTTTGGGCTGCTGTTGCTGCTGCTGCTTCTCTTATTGTTTATTTTGAGAGACACGGGCCAGGTCTTGGGTGTGGCTAGTGCACGAGCTAGTCTAAACAACGGCAACAGCATTTCCCTTTTGCTACCTAATCACACTCGAGTGCAGGCCGCTTGAACTTTGACGTGAACTGCAGCCATCGGATGTGGAACTATGGCTAGGCAGGGCATGGGCATGTGCATGGGCCTGCGACTCCTCCCCAATAAGCTATTTTGTCCGTTTTTAGAAACAATTCCTATGCCTCAAGGCGGCTGCGGGGTGGCAGCGGCAGCGGCAGCGGAAACTAGTGTGTGTGGGTGGGAGATGATGTATAGAGCTGCTGGCTGGGGGCTGAGGTCTGGGGGCTGGTGGCGTGTGTGCCATACTGCTGTGAGACCATGGGCGGCCAGCTGCTGAGCATCGAACATGAATTGCCGTGCTCGTCGTGGATCGTTCGTGCACTTGAGTTCCGGGCCACTCGCTCACCAGCGCGCTCGCTCGCTCGCCTGTCCGTTTGGGCCTCTCGCTCGCACCGCTCCCAAAAATTGACTATCCTTCTCTTACAGTTCGTTTCGTTTCGTGTCGGCATTTCAATATTTTTTTGCTTCTGCTTCTTCTTTCGTTTTGTGAATAGAATTTTTCAACAATTTGGCTGTCTTAGAGTTTTCGAAATTTTGGAGCGTAGTTGCAGTGTGTCGCGACGCGTCAGCGTATACGGATCGGTTCGCTATAGTTTTTCAATCAACCCTACAAAATAGACCACATCAAGGAGTATTCCAAAAACTAAAAAAAAAACTATAAATGTTAATAAAAAGTTATAAACTATTTGTGGTTGTTTCACAAATCGAAGTGCTTTGCATATACATCAGGATATATGGGTAGGAAGTGTTTCAGTCAACTGCGGAAGTGGGCGTTGTGCCTGTTGCCAAGTTCCAAATGCACATATATATAGACACACATAGACACACACACTCACACACACACACACATATGCACACATATATGTATATAATTTTCGGCTTTCCAATATTTTCACTCAACTCTGCGCTGCCTTTTGGCTAAAAATATTTTCCGTTAAAAACGTCGAAAAGTCCAAAAAGAAATATGAAAAAATCCACTCGTCTCAGCGCCTGCCTGCCGCCTGTTTTTCATAATTTTTCATCTTTATTTATTTATCGTATAGATGAAAATTTTGCTCACGAACTTTGCGTTTCTCATTTGATTTCGCATGTCGTCATTTTTGTTTATCCCCCACTTCCCAACAATTCGCACAGCTTGCCGCAGCCTTTGTCTCGTGGGAGGAGCAAAAGGAATAGAACTGTCTTCGTATTGCCAGCCTAATGAAACAAATCACAATTTAATAGGCACAGCGCGCAGTTTACAACTTCCTTGAATATGTCTATATATATAGAGAGCGAGATATATATATATATTTATATATGTTACATATATCTGTGTGGCATGGGAAGACAGCTGTGTGCTCTTTGGCAGATGCCATGCTGCGTATGTGGGGGAAGTCCATAAAAAAATAAAAGAAAAAATGCAAAGAAACAGAACTAAAACAAAATCAAACCAGCACACAGTTATAAAAATAAAACTATTTTTGTATTTTTGTATATTTGTATTTATGTATTTTTGTACTTCTGTTTGGCATGCGTGGAACAGCCGATGATCAGAGTATTTGACTTTTTGCGGAGACAGTCGCCAGTCTCTTGGCACAGTTTTCCAGACTCCCCTGGCCTCGAACATAAATCAATCATGGCAAATTCAATTAATTCAATTCAAATACGAAATTAAAGCAATGTGGCAGCCGCGCCAGCTATAGAGAACGTACATACTTAAATGCTATAATACTTTATGGATCTGAAACGATTTTTATATAAAGTTCTAGTCGATTTGTCTTTTTCCGCTTACTGACGTTTTATTGAACAACGGCAGGGAAGGGAAAAAGGCGTATTTACTATGAATTATTTCAACGAGATAAAAACGAATTTCAATAATAATAAAAATGAGAGAAAGAAATTTGGAGAGAGCTGGAGAGAGAGTGTACAGCTGGTGAGTAGCCCTTCCTTTATAAGTCTGATGTTCTATTACTAAATAATTAGTTATCAAGGCCGACATCTTAAACGATGCTTGCACACATAATTTAATGCCTAATTTAATGAAATGATTCATTCAATTAATCACAGAGTAGTAAGTTGCCTGAAGTAGTGGCCAAGACTCGAAATATATAAATAAATGGGGAATTTTAGAATATTCAGATATTTTGTAGGTATTTTATTATTTTGTATTTGTAAGCTATTTTTGATTGACTTTTCATCAAATGTTATAAATTAGTTAGTTTTGATGCTCTTCATTTCTTCTTCAACATGTGAAAGAATAAATGAAACTCTTTTTTTTTAAATACTTACAATTTGTACCATTTGCAATAACTTAAGTCTTTTCCTTTGTCATGTCAGCTTAATTAACTTTTATAATTTTTAAAGGGTTTCTAATTTCCTATTTTCAATTTTTAAATTTAATTTTTTTATATTTTATTTAGTTTTGAAAGCATTTTTTAATATTTATTATATTTTATTGCCAATAATTTAGAAATCTTTAACTACTTTTAACTTATTTATAGATTGTTTCCCTTAACAATAACTGACGAAAAGAAAATATATTTATTTACATTTATCTTCTCTCTAGAATAAGTGAAATTATTTATTTAATTTAATTCAGCAATGTCAAAGCTTTAAAATAAATATTTTCTAACAATTTAAGAGGAATAGTTGCCTTCAGCAAGCCTCCAAAATTTGATTAACATATGTATCAAATATATATAGAGCTAAAAATAAGCCAATTGAACAGCTAAAGCACAACAGTTCAAATTAATATGAATACGTCGATTTATGGCTGTTGCTAACTGACAAGAACAACAAATCGAATATTAAATACTTCAGTACAAAACGAATGTGATATAAATAAAATCAAATTGTAAGCTACATATTTAACAAATACACACAAAAAGTACAGCTATTTAATATATGTGCATATATATAAAATAATGTTATATAGAATATAAGGCACAGTTATGCACTTAGTAATATTTCCAGTTGCGTCTTCTTCTTTTGAACGCCCAGGCGTTGCATATGTAATTGTATAAAGATATATGTGCTCATATACAAATATATAGAAAGTACATATATAGTAGTGTACCACCCCCAATCAGAGCGCTGATATTTCTGTAGCGTTTCTAATGAAACGAAATTAAATGTATAATTTATTGTTGCATAAACAAAAGGCACGAAACCGAATCGAAAATCGAACGAAACGCAACCGAAGCGCATGTGGCACCTTTAAGTATTTCGATTTGTGTCTTGCCCCGGCCACCTCTTTGCCTAGGCTCGGTCTACCTCGCGTATATCGCCTCGGTCTGACCCGGCCTGGTCTATGTGGAGCGCATTGTATTTTGCAGGGGCTGGAAAATTTCGTGCTCCCGCACGAACCGAGCCAAAAATAACAATTTCAAAATGGGGAGCGGTGTGTGGGAGCAAAGATTTGTTTATAGTTTTTTCTTCTTTTTTCGTATAAACAATTGCAATTGAGAAATGAGAAAATCGTTGTTCGAGAAAAATCGAAAATGGTTTTGTGCTGAAAAATGATCAAGATCGATGCGAATTTCGTAGGCATCCGATTCCTGGTTCTAAAAAAAAATAAAAAATAAAATGAAGAGCTGAGAGGAAACAATGCATGCAGAAATATTCGGCGAACCGCATCATCATACACCATAATCATATAATCATGCAGTATAATGAATGCAAAGCGAAGCTGAACTGGGTTGGCGTTAAGAGCAAAGTAAACAAGTGCAAGGAATGCGATCGCCGCTGAGGGTAGAATACACATTGGTATATAACATGTATGAATATGGATACTTGATCATACTTATGAATGTTCCCAAGTACTTGTCGGCCCACTGGGTGTACGCGAGTGTGTGTATCGGGCTAAATGATCTGAAATTGAATGCCAGACATTGTAGGGCGTACAGATGCACTTAATTGATATTGAAATTATTCTTGGAACGAGTTTCAGTTCACAAATTTTGCGACTTTATGTATGTCACAAGCGAAAACCGGAAAGGAGGATGACCACAATAAGATCTTTTGTCTTGATTGGGTTTGGGCCTTTATAAGGCGGCTGCTGGCCTGCTTCAGCTCAAACGGTGTAGAACAGTGGAACGAATAGCAACATGTTGAAGCTTGTGAGTAGCCTGGACTGCTCGTCCAGCAACTTGTCCTAATGTGCAGTGACTCACTCTCCTCCCATCGCTCAGCTACTTAGCATTTTTGGACTGTGCCTGATTGGGGCCTTGGCTCTTCCCGGCGATGTGCGTCCGAGCTCGACGGTGCCGCCCGTGGCCATTGTGGAGTCTGGTCAGGAGAAGAATGACGATGGCTCATACCATTTCTTCTACCAGAGCGAGGATGGCACACATCGCGAAGAGACGGGTGTTGTGCAGAACCCAGGCACCAAGACGGAATTCCTCGAGGTGAGCGGCTCCTATTCGTACTTGGATGCCGATGGCAAAGAGGTGGTGGTGCACTATAAGGCCGACGATCATGGATTTGTGCCCGAGGGCAACAATATATCGCCACAGATCTCGGTCTCGGCCAAGCAGAACAGCGAGCAGAAGGAGCCCATCCCCGACACGGACTACATTAAGCCGCCAAAATATTAATAAACTCTGAGCACAATTCGTTAAAACTTGATCGAGTTTTTATTCGAGTTTTTGTTTTGATTAATGCAGAAACAATTTCATCTAACTACAGGTAGCTACGGGATGCTCTAATCTGTACCACGTTATCTAGCATAAGCATTTAAATTAACAGTGCGCTGAACAAGTGGAGAGTACAAAACATACAACTAGGGATAGGGCTCTAGGGACTTGGGCGTTATATAATACATACGAGAGACTTCGTTATAGAAAACAATGCAATAAATATGACATAAGCGGGACATGTATGTGTGTGTGGGTTAGTCTGGCAGGGGGTGGGGCGCCGCTACTTCTTGACGGGCGTGGCCGGCGGCGAGCGATAGGCGCTGATCAGTCCGACGGCGTTCGGCTTGCGGGTCTTGAGCCGCTGCTGCAGCGTCTGCAGCAGACCGGCCAGGACATCGTGGTTTGGTATCTTCTTGGCGAACAGCAGACGCTTCACAGAATCATCGTAGGTCAGCAGCGCAACCATGTTCTGCAGCAGAAAGCACTGGCAATACTCCAAGAGATTGTTGGCATTGTAGACCTGGCGAAAGAGAGCAAAACCAGTTAAGCACTGGGTGCCTGGCAAGCTGAAGATGCGACCCACCTTTGCATGGATGTACATGGCCACCACGTTGTCCACGTCGACCATTTCGGAGCAGCGCGCCTCTGTGTAGCAGAGCAAAGCCTCCAGCTGGAAGAAACTGGCAGCTGCCATCAGCTCCAGCACATCGCCATGCGATACGTCCAGAGCGCTGCAGCCGCCGCTGTAGAGGAACTGCATCACCAGCTGGAAGATGTGGTAGCGTATGTCATTGATCTGCACTGTGGGCGTGCTGTTGGCGTCGCTCAGCTTGGAGCTGAGCATGCTCTGGAAGCGTGGCGAGGCGGTCACCAGCACTATCTTGTGGCCATAGAAGATTTTGCCCTCGACGCTGCAAATAAATGGGATTAGAGCTTGAAGCGAGTTGGGATTCGAGTTGGTGGCCTACCGAAAGGTGACATCGCTTAGTTCCGGATTGTTGACGAACTTTGGATCGATGCGCGTGCCCTGCACGGGCTGCATGGGCGGCTGCTCCTTGAGCGGATGCAGCGCCTCCCAGCCAAAGCAGGTGGCAAAGATGTCCGCCAGCAGCAGAGTGGTGCCCTCGTTCTTATTGCGAAAGATGTTGAAGAGCAGAGGCAGGCACTCGCTGACGAACTGGGCGCTGTAGTCATCGGGGCAGACCTGCAGAAAGTCCTGCAGCAGCTGATCAATGACTGCGTCCAGGCGCAGCTCATGAGCCGCTGACAGCGCATGCATCCAGCAGTGCAGGGTCCAGGGCACGCCCAGCTTGCGCAGCTCAATGGTTATATCTAGAGGAATAACACCAGAGATTAGCTATGTTCTACTGCTGTTGCCGTTCGGGCGGCATCTCACCCAGATGATTGTTCTCGGCGCTGTGGTACATGGCCTCCTGCAGACGCTTGATCTGCGTCTTGTTGAGCAGCGGCAGCAGATCCTCGCCGGCAACGGCTGTGGTAGCGCCGGATCCACGTACGCCCACCACGTCGCCCTCGGCGAGCATCTCCTCCAGCGAGAGCACATCCCGAGTGCCAGGCGACACCGGATGCGTGAGCAGCTTACGCAGGCATGAGCGATGCCCGTGCGCCGCTGCCACGGAGATGGCGCAGAAGCAGCCCTTCTGTGCAGCGCCCGCGAAGCACAGCGTATCCTTCTGTTGTGTGGAGAGGAAAGCATTCGCGCCATGGGCCAGTAGCAGGGCCACCATCTCCAGATTGCCAGTGCCCGCGGCCAGCTGCAGCGGCGTCAACGTGCACTTCTCCTCGCTGCTCCGAGCGCCGCCCTCCACCTTGCCACCGCGCTCCAGCAGAATACGCAGCGCCACGTAGTTGGCGCGGCTGGCAGCAAAGCTGAGCGCCGTCCAGTGCTGCGTGTCCGCTTGAATGGCTGGATAGCCGCTGGTGCCCGCAGCCGGTACCTCCACGTTGGGATCACAGCCAGCGTCGATCAGGGCATGCAGTGCCACCTCATCGTTCCGTATGCTGGCAATCATCAGTGCAGTCAGTCCGGCGCTGTTCTGCGTGTCATAGCGCGTGGTGGGCGGCAGCAGCTGCGCCGCCTGAGCCAGCAGCTCGGCGCGGCCTGTCAGCAGCAGCTTGAAGGCCACAGCGATGGTGGCTCGCCGGCCCAGCTCCGAGGTATCCTCGCCAATGCTGCTCACGGCTGGTGAGCTGGAGCTGCTGCCGGTGCCAGTGGTGCTGCCGCTGCTGAAGTGCGTCTTCTTGGTGGGCAGCTCCTCGTCATGGGCCACCGGGCGTATGGGACAGTCCACGCCGGGCAGCAGCAAACGCGCAGCCTGCCAACAGAATTCAGCTGAGTTCATGGCCAAAAGAGAACTTGGATTAGGCTTACCTGCAGAATATCATCCTTGTCAATCATCAGGCCATTGCGGTGCTCCGCGTGCGCCGAGGCCACCCGCAGCCACTCGGCCAGCGGCGGCAGCACCACATAGGCGCGCTCATAGCACAGTTCCTGCACATTCTGGGTGCCGCTGTTGGGTGGCGCCTGGCCGGCCGTGGAGCTCTGAGCCGCCAGCTCCGTGTGCTCCAGCTGGGAGCAGCGCATGAAGTAGAAGAGCGCACTGAGTGCCGCGTTGGAGAGGGCGGCAGCATGCTGGAACTCTTGCTGGGTGCGCAGCGCCTTCTCCTTCAGCTCCCGTATGCTGCCCACGCAGGTGGCCAGCGAGAAGGGGCTTGCCCAGCGCGGCATGGCCAAGGCGCCGGAGGCAATGCGTCCGGCATTCAGGTGGGCGAACGGCTGCAGCAGGCCCCAGAAGTCACCCGAACTGGCAATGCTTTGATCTAGAGCCGGGGCTGTGGTGCTGCCACCGCCAGCTCCGCCGCACTGCAGCATGATCTCCTCGAGCAGATTCTCAATGCCGGCGCACAGATAGACCGCAGCGTACTCGTGTATGAACTTGCCCAGCCGTGCATCCGTCATCCATCTGAAGAAGCTGCCCACCGACAGCTGGAGCCCGGCACGCGACGATTTGCTCTGCTTGAGGGCGCTCTCGCCGGGCACCGCGAACATGGCGGCGGCACGCAGGCACGCCTTGGTGCAGGAGTCGGCCAGCGTGGAGCAGAGCACCACCTTGAATGCGCCGGTCACCTCCTGCTTGGAGCACAAGCCCAAGCCGGCCGAGAACCGCTGAATCTCCCTGGCAATGCGCACCAGAGCACGCTGCAGCAGATAGCCCAGTCTGGAGATGACCTCGACAGAGATGTGATCCGCCTGCTGCTTGCAGCGGCCATTGCGCAGCACGCGCATGATGCACTGCTGGCTCCATGGCGGATGCTGCAGCTCCACGAGACGATTGTGCGAGTCCACCCACACAAACTCGTCCGCGCTGGTGCTGGTGATGACCGTCTCCAGCGATGAATAGCGGCCCAGACGGCGGGCCGGCTCTGAGCTCTCCGAGCCGGCGCTCAGACTGCTGTAGGTGCTGCTGCTCGTCTGGGAGCGCATCGTCAGCTGCTGTATGGCTAGCTTGATGTCCTCCAGCCCGCTGCCGCTCCAGGGCGCCTTGCCGGCGGGCATAATGCCACGATGACGTCTCGAGCGCGTGCTGCGATTGGTCACACCGGCGGCCAGCCGATCCTCGGGCAGCGGTCCCAAGGTCATGCCCCCAGCCGGCGACGAGCTGTGCCCGCCCGTGTCCGACATGCTGGCATGCCCCGAGCTGCGGTTCTCGTCCGAGGAACTGTGGCACTCCTGCACCCGCTGCAGTGCTCGGAACTGTTCGTGCTGATGCGTTCGTGGCGCCGGCGTTGACGTCGACGTCGATGTCGCTGTCGGAATGCCCAATGTGGGCCGACTGGGCGAGCTCTGCAAGCTGCCGCTCAGCTGCGGCGGCTGCGACTTAACCGGCGTACTCTGCACCGTCAGCCTGGCGGGTCCAGCTACCGCGCGCTGCGGCATGCCCGCCTTAACGGCTGACGATGTCAACTGTTGTTGCTGCTGCTGCTGCTGTGGCAAGGGGCTGCTTACCAAGGGCAACGCATTCGCTGTCGATTTATTGCTGAGTGGCGCTTTGTTCGGCTGCTGCGCCAGCTCCTTGAACACGCGTGGCGCTGGTGTGGCCATGGCCACCGCCAAGCCAGCACCAACTGCTCCCAGCTGCGACGTGTGTGCTGCAAGCGCCGACTGCGCCTGTTGCTGTGCCTGCATCTGCGGCTGCAGCGGCACCGGCGGCAGACCCGTCATCTGACCGGCCGCCTGCTGACCAAAGTTAGGCGGCAAATTTCCCGTGGGCCTGCAAATAAATTAAAGAGAAGATAATGATAAATACAGTTAAGCTGATTAAGGGTAATCCATGTGCCAGCGTGGCACAAAAGAAAGTGATTTTCCTTGATGTTTTAATAAGCTTGAAGTGCATTCTGTGTCTAGAGCAAATTATTTGGCATTCAATTTTAGTTAAACTATATTATTTTATAATATATATTATTGAAGAGACTAATTTCATTTTAGCTTTAACTGTTTACAATTACTCTCGCTCACTCTTCACTCAAAGGTTTCCAACTATATTGAAGTCTTTTTTCCCAAAAGCCTCTGACTCAAACTTTTTACGAACCTCTTTCAAAATAGTTTAAAAATTGAAATATTTTACCTACTTTTCATGCTTGCTGCTAGAATGGCGAAACAGGTGTCTTTTTCTACACCTGCTAACCAATAACGGCAAGCAGGGAACCTATTATAGAAACCTTCAGAAACCTTAAAAGACATAACTTATTGCAAATTATGAATTGTGAAATGGGCAGAGCTAAATATGCTAAAATATTCCAATGCTAAGGCTTAGTCAAAGATCTTTTAACATCTGGATATTATGAAACACTAAGCTGATTCGCATAAAAAGAGAGCAACAGAATGGTTATTTTATGTTAATATGTTAAGACCTGACCCATTTCGTGGCAGTCGTCCATCAGTTATGCAACTAATTAGAATTCAAGGGAATTTGTCAACCGAAAGTAAACAAAGCAACGCCTAACGGTCGCCGCAGCAGCCATGGCCATAGATTTATCTGTGTATCTGTCATATTACCGCTTATCTTTCACACCGTCTTGCCAATCTACGTGGTCATCTTTGTATCTATGTGAGGTCTCCATGTATCTGAGCTTGAGCTTGAGCTTGAGCTTGGGCTTGGCTGGTGGCATCTAATTAAAAGCAGATATAAGATGCGGAGGCCCTTGGGTCTGAGTCTTGTCTTTGGCTAATGCGAAACTTTGTCAAATTCTTTAAGCACTCTATGCAACAAAAGGGGCATTAGGACTTGCTGAAGCTGTTGAACTCCACTGACAATATGAGCTAAGCATTTGCGCGTGGCTGCTTAGTTTCATTGAATAAAATAAAAATCTTCAATTGAATGCTAAGCGGCATAATCCTTAAGGAATGCTTTGAATTTTGTGCATAAACAAAGTTTGATTAAAAATATAAATAATTGCCGGAATAAACTTAAGTCTAGCTTAGCTCTGTATGCAAATTGATTTGTGTTTCATCAACTTCAGATAGAGTATCTTTGAGAGAGTATGGCGAGTTCTGTGCGCAGGTTTCCTTTTGTTTATGAAAGTGGGTTGCGATTCGTTCTCACATTTCTGCACTGTCGTCGGCTCCACTAACTGGGCCCGGCCAAGAAAAACAAAATAAAAAAGATACAAAAAATTAAGAGCCAGTTACAAGCGCTCATTTGCATGGCGCACCGACCCAAGTTAAATCGTTTGCTTTTATTATGATTTTTGATTTCATGTTGTAACATAAAACGTCGTCTCTACGTTTGATTGACCCAGAATTTAGCCAAACTCCATTTGCCCCCAAAAAGTATCCATTGTTCTGCCGATGCTTGGCGATTTATAGCTCCCGAATTGCCTTACAATGCTGAGACATGAGCTCATTTGGCCGACTGTCTTCTACTTTGCGTGAACGATCAGTGACCTCTCGACATTATTGACTTGACTCAATATACACTATAATGTGACTGCATCCATGTGGCTGATTGATCAATGCTCCGCAGCTTAAGTAGTGGAAAATGCAAATTTTCTTGATAATCAAACAACTTTAAATGTAATTTTCATTTGAGATACGAGAAAGTTGTAGAGATCAATTTTAAAGCTCTGATCTAGCTACTTGGTAAATAAAGAAATTGCCTTCAATATTAAATATACAAATATAATAGAAGAGAGTATATTAATGACGCAACTGAGCTCACTCGAGCACTCAGCATTTCTCAATTATTAATTTAACTTTAGATCTAAGATAGAGCGTACAAACTTTATAATTGCTGAAAGATCATCTGAGACGCTTCATTCATATTTCTTTTAATTAGAAAAATGAAGACGTTAAGATTTCTGTTTTCGCTTTTACTCTCATGTATGTAGCCAGCTCCCCTTTCCATGCAAATAGAAACTAAACCCAAAATGTTTTCACTTGCTAGTCTCTGGGCAAGCCCTAGCTGCCGTGGCTTTCACAGCACCAGAATGGGAGCTCAGACAACAATTGATGCAAAAACGAAAACAGAGAACAACAACGGCAGCAGCAGCAGCAGCAGCAATAATAAAATAAAATGGATGGAAAATAATGGCAAATCATTTAAAGCATTTTCACTACCGTCTCGCAGCGCGTCGCCACTCCTGAACGTAACTCCAATCGCATGAATCTGACTGACTCGCGGTCTCCGCATCGTGGCCAGGGCCAGAGACGCTGTCATCATCATCATCATCGTCATCGTCGTCGTCATCATCATCATCATCATCGTCTGCATTATCATGATGATCAGCTGCAGTCGGTTTGCTGTTAGCAGCATCGGATTTCATTTGGCCAACAACGGCCAGCGTTGGCTTTGCCACCGTTTCCACCAGAGCGCTGGCGCGCCGGTAATTGCCTTCAATTTTGATATTAATTACGCCATTCTGCACGCTCTCAATGTAGGGCGGCAGTTCATCATCAGCGTTAGTCTTCGCCTCAGCCTCCGCCTCCGCCTCCGCCTGCGCCTGCGCCTGCGCCACCTCCGTCTCGGGCTTGCCTTTGTCATTGGTCTGCAGTTTCTGGGACATCTCCTGCAGCAGCTGCGAGTGCAGATTGGCTGCATCTGCGGGCAGCTTCGGAGTCAATGCGGGTATCTGCGACTGCGACTGCAACTCCGGCTGCGGCTGCGGCTGTGCTCGACTCATGGAGTCACCAAAATAGATGACCACTTTGTGATTTGGTTTGACCTCGCGATCACCCAGATGCCCATTTCCATTTCCATTCCCATCACGATCCCGTTCCTGCTCGCCTTCCCGCCTGCGCTGTGTGGCCGCCCAGTCGGGCAGCTCCTCGATGGGCGTGGGCGAGGGTGTCTGCGCTGGGCGTGGCAAATCGCGCGGCTGCGACTGACACATTTCGCTATTGCGCAGCGACTGCGGCTGAAAGTTCTTCAGCGAAATGCCGCGACGCCTCAGTATGAAGTTCTCATTGAGCATGCGCCCCAGCAGGGAGCTAGGAGGCGTACCCTTGCCCGCCAGCTTTGACTTCGACTTGGCGGGCGACTGGAACGGCACTGCTGACTTCTTGGCGCTCAGCTTATAGTCGCGCAGCTCGCGGCACAAACGGCAGGCGCAATCTTTGGTGCAGTACATGATGATGGAGCTCCAATTGGAATGGAGTTTGATTTGAGAAGATTCAGAGTTGTAAAATAATGACGATGTTGTTGTTGTTGTTGTTGTTGTCGCTACGACTTTTGCTTTGGTTCCATTTCACTTTGCACTCGACTTGCGATTCTGACATACACAATTTAATACACCAAATAATAAGAACAATTATGCAAATTATAAATTTTCATTGCTCTAGCGCCGTGCGCAGCGTTGCGTGGCCGACGTACGTATCCAAATCAGATTCCGAAACCGAAATCCCGACTCCGAACACTGAAAACACTCGCGAACTTGGAAACTCGGTTACTTAAACGCGTTACCGTGCACGCTCACACTTCGAGCTTGACTGAAGCTTGCCAACGGCCAGCCGGCGGTTCAAAGCCAAAACAGTTGCTGCCATAGCCGTTGCCGTTGCTGTTGCCGCAGTCGACGCCAGCTGCGCTGCCGAGTCATTGTCTAAGCGCGGCGACGTCTGTTTTTCCTGATTTTCACAGACACAGAGTGTAGCGCAGGCCTTTGGGGCCCATGCCACCTTGCAGGTCTTTGGCTTGGGTAATTTCAGCTGCCGTGAGTTGTTGTTTCTCAGCTGTGTGACCAAAACAATGGCACAACTGTAACATCCAACAAACACCACCAGCAGCAGCAGGCGGAGATTTACTCCAGGGCAGAGCCCAACAGTTGTGTGTACTTCTTTTGAAACTGATATTGTGATTTTTGAGTCACTGTGAATGCGACTTTGGTATGCATAAAAGTCTTTTATGTACTATATTTTTCGAATACAAGTAACTACATTTTCTCTCCTTCTCTCTCTCTCTCTCCCGCACTCTCACTCTTTCTCTGTCTATCTCTCTCATGCACTCTCTGCGTATCGAAAGTTCGCGATCTGTCGAAAATCTATAAGGCGTTTGTTTCATAGGTTTTAGAATCAATCGATAAAAGTTTTATATTCAAATAATATTTAGTAATTAGCTACAATGCTTAAGGAATGCATAAAGTAAACACAAATAAAAATTAAGTCACCACGAACTCAAATTTATTTTTTTTTATATTGAAGCTTTTAGATATTGAAGTAATTAAAACTAATAAAATAATACTCTTAAGAAAATAATAATAAGCTAAATAATATCAACAAAAAAAATTATTAATAATAAAAATAATATTAATTTAAACAAATATAATAATATTTACAGATATATTATAATAATTGTAAGATTATATTTATATAAATATTTAAATTACATAAAATTATATTATTTATTATTATAATATTTTTATATTATGAATATGATTATTATTATTCTCATTATTATATTATTATTTTTATTATTATTATTATAATTATTAAATTCAAATTAAAGTCAAATTCTCTTATATAAATATTTTTGAATACCTGGAGAAAATATCATACATATCTTAAAGTCTCAAAATAAGTTATAAGTATCACATAATAACAACTTATATATCAAAATATATTTGAATAAAATAATGATGAAAAAAAGTTAAAAATGAAATTTATTAAAATCTTATTCTTTGAAAAATATCCAAATATTAAACACGGCGTTAGATTTAAATATTAATAAAAAATAATACTCTTCTTTCTCACCAGTATAGTAGCTAAAAATGTATATTACCCTCTAGGTAATAGTTCAAGGTTTTGTCTAATAATGTTAGCCAAGTCACAACTCAGCTCATCTCTATTCATAGGCTCTGTGAATTTAATTATGCACAACACAGTGAGGTACAGAGTAAGAGAGGGAGAGAGAGACAACGCTAGAGGGAGCGGGAGAGAGATAGCTGGGGACGCACTCGAAGGTTATACAATCTTGACACTTATCAGATCGTTTTGCCAGCTTCCTTCCGCGCCTGGGCCCAAGATCACGTTTTGTGTTCTGAGCATGTGCAGACACGCGTAGGTTTCAAGATACATCTGGCAGATACATTTCATGTGTAGTGCAGATAAATCGTTGGCCGTAACCCGCTTCTAATGATTTATACCAGCTCATCTTGTTGATATAACGGGCTTTTGAGGTTTTTATTGGGCAGCCAGCAGCTACCTAGCTGAGGTTCTTTTGTGCCATTAAAGAATTACATCCTAGGGCTGTGGCAGCGAAACCACAAACGAACCCCGCACGCAATTAGAAAGTTAAGACCGATAGCTGGTCATTTGGTCGAAAGAGCTGAAAACCGCCCACGTAATGCGGAAAAACTTTGGGCGGACAGGCAGCGGCCTCTAATAGACTATGCCTCCATGCGTACGGTGCATGGCGCACGGCACAGGGCGCACGGCGTACTCTCCGCCAGTTGGATTATACAATAACTTTCATCGTTGCTCTGGTGTTTTCTTTGTCTTTCTTCTGCTGTGTGTGTGCTCTGCTTCTAGCCGAAGCAGTTGGCGCTGTTAATTATTTAAAACATTATGTTGCTCGAAACAATTTGCGCATTAAAAAGTTTAATTTACGGAATTGTAATGACAGACTGTAAATAAGTATACGTACACCCATTAAGCACGGCTGCAGCAGGCCTCAAAAAGCAAAAGTAAGCCAGAGAGTTTAATGTAATATTTGCGTGTTTATTAAACAACTCAACCAAAAACTTTAAGAAATATAAAAAAGCAGAAAAACTGGCCAAAGGCGGCAACTGCAGCTCAAAGAAAAGCCCAAAAACCTATTAGCGGTGCCCGGCCCCTTGGGCTGCAGTGTTATATACAACCCATACCAGCTATCCAAACTATCCAAGCTATCCAAGCTATCTGAACTATCCAAAATATTTGTGTCATTTTAGTTTGAGGCCAACTAATGGGATTTCAGTGCATCGCTGCTTAAGTTACTTTCGTTTTTCAAGTCAGGAAATTGTGTTTCAGAACCATTAATAATTTGCCAAGACATAAGCCCACATTCTTGTTGGTAATTAATGTTATGGTTCTAGCCAAGGTTAGCTCTGCCATTTGCCAACCTTTAGTCTGCTATCAATAATCCACTAAGCAAGAGCTTTCGACACTTCTTTGACATAAATTGCTTAAGCCGAAATATTTTTAATGTCGAGTCATGTCTGGGAAAACAGAAAACAGAAAAACAGAAAACATTTTCGTGCTCATATTTATGGTTATTTTATATATGTATTTTATTACAAAGAGTCGCAGTCACATCTTGAGATTGAAACGATTGTTGTTTTAGGAACACTTTAGAGAGAAATTAGATTTATTCTCGAACTGGTTTAGATCGTAATGAAATTTTCGTCAGCAACTTGTTTTGAGCTGAACAGAATCAGAGGTCAAAGATCAGCAAAATTTTGAATGAGAAGTCTTAGGATATACGAGTCTATATTTTTTACTTGAGAAGTATCTTATATATAGAAGTAAAATATATATTTCATATTGAGCTGAAGGATAAAAACATGATATAAAATAAATTCTAATTCACTTTCGATATTCACTTTCAAATCTAAAGAAAACTCAAATAACTTTTATGTATAATCGATGCCAAAGATAGGCTAACAGACTTTGCCGTATCTCCGAGGCAAATGTTTATGGTCGCAAATATTAATCATAATCATCAGCTGGGAGCATAGGTAATTCCGCTCATGATTGGTCATATAAACATTATTTTGTGTACGACTTCAAACAGGAAATGTAAAAGAGGTCAAAGACCAAAGACGACTTTGATGTGCGTCGAGCTTTGTATTTTGTGGATGTTTGTTTATGCAGCTAATTGCAGTGGTTATATAAGGGCTTTAGCCCCATCGTATATCGCACTTGTTTCATTTTTCTTTTATTATCATTATTGCTGTTCGCCGCGGCTCTTATGAAACGCAGAGCGTTTTATGCATTAGTAGCTACAAGCGAGCCCTATCATTACATCGCACCTGATCCACAGATATATAGATAAATATGCGCTGATTGTGCGGGGCGCTAACAAGATTTCCGCATTTGGCTGCTTTACATTGGCCATTAACCAGCAGATGCGGTCATTGGATGCGACTGGCTTCGCTTCCGTTCACGCTCGTCCCCTACCCGTGCCCGGCCCGTTGCCCTTCACTCGCCAAACCAATTTTAAGTCCCATTTGGCCTCAACGACTTAATTAGTTGAGCGTGTGACGTTGAGACGTTTGTCTATCTCCAGCTGACTGCAGATATCAACAGCAGCATCTGGCGTACTGGGCAACAGCTGGCGACAACTCAAGCTTTTGCGTCTAGTACTTGACTGCAGATACCCTATAACCAACAGCCAAAGACAACTTCCAGTACTTTCCCACGTTCGTGTCTAGTACTTGACTTCAGATACCCTATGAACATGAACTGATCAGAGAAAGTTGTCAAAAAGTTTATCGAGTCTGCGCTCAGATATAATTCTTAGTTTTATAGTTATGGTATATTATTGACTTAATACCCTGTAAACATAAAATAAACAGAAGGCAGTTTAAATTTGTAAGAATGGAAAGCGAAAAGAATTTTAAATTATTGACTTCGATTCTAATGTCTCCTCTCTAATTAAAAGATATACAAATATCATATATAATATTTCAAATATTATTATATTTATGCTTACAGTTTCTTCAGTTCAACTTGAACAGTTACTAAACTTAACCACTTCAAATATCAAGGAGTATCTTGAAGTGTACCAGCTTCAGTTAGAGCTTTTCTGCATGATTTTTCTATCTAGCCAGCGATTTAGCTGTAAGTGCGAGTATCTCGCATTTTGACAAACGTTAAAAGTATCTCACAGCTACGTCTGCTCTATGTGTGTGTAACTGTGTGTGAAAGAAAGTGTTGGCACTGAGCTTGGGCACGGGCACAGCCATGGACAAGGTAAAAAGGTAACAACATTTTCACTTGCCTCGCGCCGTCGTCGCATTTTTAATGCTGCGCTGAAGATGCTTTAATAAAAAAATGTAACAACTATGGGGGTTTAATGCCCTCGACTCCAGGCCCCACAGCCCAGACTTGAGATACCATGAGCCATGCCCATGCCCGTGCCCGTGCCATTGTCATT